TACACATGCGTTTTCCTGTACGCCTCTGTGCTATCAGACTTACCCAAGTACTTCTAGGGTGAAGAGCCCCAAAGTGTCCCACGGTAACCTACTATATTGATCCATCCATTTAACACTGCAACTGACATAGCCAGGAGAAATGTTCCAGAAATGAATGCACAGACGTTTTTTCCCTGCCGAGGGTTGATTGAGTCTACCAGAATCTCCAGTTCACTTTTGTGTTGTGTCATGGTAGCCGTTATGAAAACAGACCGTCTCAGAGAGAATCCATTGTTCCTCAGATCTGAATGCATTCTGTGTGCCTAGGCTGTTCCTGTGATGATGCTGTGTGACATTGCTGTTTCTCTTCCCCTCGCCACTTTGCCTTCCTGATAACCTCTTCTCATGTGCGTTCTTTAGGAAAAGACCAGTGCCCTCAGTCTGAGCAACGTTGCTGGAGTGTTCTACATCCTTGTCGGGGGCCTTGGCTTGGCCATGCTGGTGGCTTTGATTGAGTTCTGTTACAAGTCAAGGGCCGAGGCGAAGCGAATGAAGGTGGCAAAGAATGCACAGAATATTAACCCATCTTCCTCGCAGAATTCACAGAATTTTGCAACTTATAAGGAAGGTTACAACGTATATGGCATCGAAAGTGTTAAGATTTAGGGGGTAGGAACGAGGCTCTAATACAACCTTCTCGGTGCACGTTTTAGCTTTCTTGTCGCGTCCGTAAGCTCTTTTAAATGAGGAAGGTGGCCAGTGGATCGTCCTGTATGTCCTGTTGCTGTCCTTCCGTGTTCCTGGTCAGTGACTAACCGGCAGCCCAACTGTCCATTTTCCTCTTTAATGACACGGTAGCTTGGGGGTATGTGGGCAGATCCCCGCTGTAATTGTGCTTTCTTATTTGTAGTTCAGTCTGGCGCTATTTGCTTTCATTTGCTGCAAGCTTTCAGATAGAAGTAAATTTTTCAAAAGCAGCACCGCCTTTACTCTGGATACATTTGAAAACCTTAACGTATGCTTTCTTTTTCTTTCTTTCCCTCCCACCTCTCATTTAAGATGACCTTGAATGATGCCATGAGGAGAGAGGAGAGGCTGTCAGTTACAGGAAGTACTGGAGAAAATGGACGTGTTATGACTCCAGAATTTCCAAAAGCAGTGCATGCTGTCCCTTACGTGAGTCCTGGCATGAGAATGAATGTCAGTGTGACTGATATCTCGTGATTGATAAGAACCTTTTGAGTGCCTTACACAATGGTTTTCTTGTGTGTTTATTGACAAAGTGGTGAGAGGCATCCAGTATCTTGAAGACTTTTCTTTCAGCCAAGAATTCTTAAATATGTGGAATTCATCTTGAGTTGTGAGGAACGGTCACCTAAAGACACAACATCCTTTTCTACTCCAGTTCCAGACGAAGCTTGGCGGACATGCACAGCTACCATGGAAGTACTCTAATTTCACTGACGTCTTTGTACAGACAACAGACCCGTTTCTGCAGCCACTATTGTTAGTCTCTTGATTCATAATGACTTAAGCACACTTGACATCAACTGCATCAAGATGTGACATGTTTTATAAGAAAAAGAAAAAAAGACATTTAAACTTAAAAAAATATTTTTAGGTATTTTCACAAACAAACTGGCTTTTCAATAAATTTGCTTCCATATTGGTTGAATAAGACAACAACGATTAAACTGAGTGGGACGTAATTAGAAAGGCTTTGGGTATCAGTTACGTATTTTTCAAAGCCAAATATGTACATGCTAAGGAAAGAAAAACAAAGAGAAGATTCAAATCTTGTAGTAATTTAATATTGTTATTAAAACTTTAATGTATCCTATTCTTTAACATTTGGTGTTAATGTAAAATTACTTGGCAGTGCTTGACATTTGAAATAAACACTTTTCTATTGTTTTATTTGCAAGTGGTCCAATTAATTTTGCTTAGCTACAGTTTGGTCATCAATGGAGTTCAAAGACACTACTAAATTGTTAGGTTCCCAGAGAAATTTGCCCCCTTTTAAAGAAGGCCGGGTGGTCCTTAAAGTATAAACCTGTCCCCAGATAAAATCTGAACCTGTTTTTAAGTATGTCTTATCGTATGTAAAGAAATATTTAGCATAAAGCATTTAATCTCTGTAGGTAAATGCTAATAGATTTTAAAAACTAATATTAAAAACAAATATCAGAGTATGTGAGGTTCTGTTTTAAAGTGTTTGAGCTGACAGAGAGAAGTATTAGTTGTAGATGAAGTTAGAGATGCCCTGAAAGTAGATAGGTGCCCATTGATCAAATTCCGTAAACTAAACCTGAGTTTTGGCTTTTAAAGGTGTAAGAGCTGTCATAAATCTTACATATTATGAAAAGTTTAAGCACTTTTGAGTCAGCTGCGATATAGTTTCTTCCCATTACCATCAATATAAACAACCCTAATATATATATTTTTATACTTATTCCTCAGGTGGAATGGCTATTTTAAAATGCCCAGTGTGGATAAAACACACTTCTGTGGCTTTTGACTAAAGAACTTATATTTCTCTAGTTAAGAAATTTAAAGGAGCTATCTTTCCCTTCATAAAAGACCATTTATTTCCACTGAAGCTCTCTAAAATAAAATTAATTTAAGGTTTTAAGTGATCACTAACGTTCAACTAATGCTTGCTATTTCTGCAAGTACGCCTTTGTGTAGCACTTGGTGTTTTACTCAGTGCCTGGAAAACATTCTTATTTATTATCTATCACAGAAGGGAAAGAGAAATGTAGGGTCTAATAGCAACCACTCGCATGGACCATGGTGCCATGAGGTATCATGACGTTCTTGCCTAAATTTAGCTGTCCCTAATCACAAATTCCAAGATCATACAATACAATTTTAGTGCATTTCTCCTCATCAGGAATGTTGGAGGTGCATTTTAAGTTTAAATCAATCATCAATGCTAGAATGACCAAATTGCAGACTAACTGTTTTCCACATTATACTTCAAATGAGTTTTTAAAAATGAAACAGATGACTATAAACCACCAATGCTCTTTATTTATTGTACCTCTGGGCCTACTCTTCTAAAAATTGTAGCTTATCAATTTTTCTCTGTCAAGCTTGAACTCATGTAAATACTTGAAATAATGTAAAGTTATATTTTCATGTTTTTATAGATACAACATGACAAGAATACATAATGTAAGAGTATTTCAACTATGGATAATGTTGACTGGATAATGCACATCTCAGTTACAAGCAGTAATCATAGTATAATATCCATGTAACGGTGCATCAGTGTATTGCTATATAAACATGTCTGTGTGCATCTAAGTGAAAAGTGGTCAGACAGAGTGATGACAGCTCTCTAAAGGTTTTTTTAATTCATTTTATATAAAAACTGTTATGGAAAGACCAAAATGTTTATGAACTATTCTTATGTAAATTTACAACTGTCCTTTACTGTACTTTTTTGTTTACAGTATATGGTACCTTATTTTCTGCTGTGTTAAGTGGGTGTCAGACTCCGAGGAGACATACACTTTCTACAACTTCTATTGAAGATATTGGAACTTCCAGTTTTTCATGTGTACTGTGTCAGAAAATGCTTTTGATTTTATTTTTAAATCTAACATCAGATGGCTTTTTCGGAGTGTTGTAAAAACTTCAATCATATATAAAACATGTTCTTACAAAAGGCCATGATCTTTATTTATTTTTACTTGATAGTTCTTAAAACTACTAATAATGAGAAACCAAAAAAAGGTACTTGAATGTATTCCCAAACAAACCCGGGTGTTTCTACTCAACAAGGACATCCTTTGCTCAGTTTATACATCAGCTCGGTACAAATATAAGAAAGGAAAAATAACTTTTTTTTAAGCTGAAGTGATTAACATTTTCAACATTCCAAGCTTACAGTCATTAAGTGCTTTGGGCATATGTAGAAATATCACTATTAATTAATTTTAGTTCTCCTTTGGCACTGTATGTTGTCAGCTCAGCTGCTGTCATAACGGTATTAAAGAGCAGAAAGGTGACTTGCTTTAAAAATTCCACAAGGTAACACATTTCCCAGCTTACATGTTTCAACAAAGTTTTCACTTCCTGCTATACTGAGAGAGAGTATTGATGAGAAACGAAAACTCTTGCAGTTTTGATTCTCTTTTTACAAAGGTGATCATCTTAATATTTAGGTATATTCTAAAATTAAAGCATTTTAGTTCTTCACAATTGCACATTAAAATTTCTTGTATAGAGTTTTGCGGTTTGAATAATTTAATGTTTAAAAGTAGAGTATACCAATGCATCTGCTTAAAAATACAGTAATCTTGTTATTCTGCCATCCTGAGTTTGCAAATTCTATAAATATTTTGGTGCTCGTGGTGGTAGATTGCGCAAATGAAGGGAAGCATTAGCAGTATAATAACCCTACAGGAAGATTTTAATACAACACCTTGACAACACCATTGAAGAAAACACTTACTGAAACGAATTAGAAAACAATACAATGTGGCTTCTTCCCATTTTTCTATTTCCTATCTCATCATATCCTAGCCTTATCAGCCCAGTAAATTTAAACAAAACTCAAGTATCACTTCTACCTTAAAATGTATGTGTGGGTCTTTAAACCTGTTTTAGGCTGGATAAGAGTTTATTTATTGCACTTTGAGAGCCTGCTGGTCTGTCGTGTAAAATCCTCATGTAATTCAGGCAAATATTCCATTTTCTTCTAATTCAAATGATATAGGTAGGTGTATGGATTGAATTAGTTGCATACATTCTATATTGCCAACTTTACCTGATGATGTAAGGTTTATTAGTAATATATTATGAACTTGGGAGAGTTTATTGGTTAAGTTCCACAAATTTTATATGAACTCTAAATAAGCTTATTAAAGGAAACAGAATGATGTAAATATCTGTTTAAAAGTAGAGTAAATTTTGTGTAAAGTGTTCCAGTATTTAAAATTGGTTTATTTTTAAGCTCCAACATGAAAAATGGGTAAGTATAAATGAATCATCAAGATATTCTGAATGAGAATTTGGGGTTGTATTAAATGGTTTGTGACAGTTGTATCAAATTTTTTAAAAGGAAGTATTCATTCTCTCAATGTGTTGGTTTGGCAAGACCATGACACTGGGAATTCTATTGGCTACTAATCAATAAATTATCTATTTCTATGTTTCAAACAAGAACAACTCATAGATAGTATATAGCACTCTAAGTACACGAAGGTTCAAACATATTTATGTATAAATGAAGATATGCAAAGCACAGACTAACACAAATGGCCTAATATCCAATGCAGGTAGGAAAGTGCCTGGAATAAAGCTGGATCATAAGAGTTTTTTGTTTTGTTTTTGTTTTCTTTTTTTTGCGGTACGCGGGCCTCTCAGTGCTGTGTCCTCTCCCGTTGCGGAGCACAGGCTCCGGACGCGCAGGCTCAGCGGCCATGGCTCACGGGCCCAGCCGCTCCGCGGCATGTGGGACCTTCCCGGACCGGGGCACGAACCCTTGTCCCCTGCATCGGCAGGCGGACTCTCAACCACTGCGCCACCAAGGAAGCCCTGGATCATAAGATTTTGTGTCTGTGTTTTATATCCTGTTTCTATTCCTTTCCTTCTCGCGTCACCATTTTACATTCTCTTCCTGCCCTTATGTACAACTGCAATTTTTCATATGTTATACTTCGAATGGTATCCAGTTTAAAAATTTCATGCATCTTGCCCTTTGGCTTTTATTCCATGGTATCCCGTCTATTTCTGACTTGTCTTTCCTGAGAGATTTTGCTTTGAGAGCACTTAGAATGCAGTTCATTTTGTCAAAGACAAGACTGACAGTCTCAGAGTCTTCTTAATAACCAAAAAAATGACTAAGAATTTCAGGCATGAAGTACAAATTTCCTGCTCAGCTCTATTTCTGCATCAGCCACATATTCTGATCCAACAATTGCAAATTTGTTATATTCCTCCATGTACTTAAAGAGCCCCACAATTTACAGAGTTTCTGTAGGAAGAGGGAGGCTCTTCAGTGAAGCAGGAAGAGTGAGAACTCTATTTTTAATATGTTTGCGCATCAGAATTCTTTTTCAAGTCACTTTAGAATGAACACGAGCCGATTCTCTCTTTTAACTCCACCCTCAAGCACTTCCAGATTATTTTTTAATTGCCTTTTTTCCCCACTAGGTAAAAGCCAATTTTGATACAATAAGTCCCCTCTATACGAACCTTCAAGTTGCGAACTTTCAAAGATGTGAACGTGTGTTCGCATGGCCAGCCACGTAGGTTAGTTCACATGTCTCGAGTACATTGTCACATGTGTGTGTACGCTACAAGTGGTTGTGCTTTTGTGTACTTTACAGGACTGTATAGAGTACGGTAGTACAGTATCTTTATTTCAAGCCCAGGCTGTCTGGAAGCAAGTGTAAAAACAGCGGTGATGTAGCTGGTACTTTTCAAGGTACTGTACTGTAACATTAAAAATGTTTTCTTTATTTTTTTGTGCCTGTTTATTATGTATTTTTTGTGTGGAAAGTACTATAAACCTATTCCAGTACAGTGCTAGACAGCCGGTTGTGTTAGTTGGTGCCTAGGCTAACTTTGTCGGACTTACGAACAAATTGGACTTACGAACGTGCTCTGGGAACGGAACTCGTTCCTACATAGGGGACTTGCTGTATTTCAGAACCAAGTTGCTTTGTGGAGATGCATAAACTCACTGTTACTTCATTGGATGTGCCTGAATTCACTGCATGAATTTGGTCATCTTTCTTTCTTTTTTTTTTCCCTTTCAGGTTCATGGGCCAATTTCATTTTATTGTAAGTTGGAATGTGGGGCAGTGGATTAAGCAGTTAGGAGGGACTCAGAACCAGAATTCTAGCTTTCCCCGCCCTTCTTGCACGTCTCCCTGTGTCTCTTGTCTTCTCACCTGGAGGAAGTGGATGCTAGGACTGTCTTCCTGGATGGGGAAAGGAAACGTAATATGATCACTTAGAACATAAGGAAACATTGTCTTTTCTTTAAAAAGTGGTCTAAAGAAATAAGTTCATGCATTGGGGTGCCACTTGGTGCAGAAAAACGTTTTTGTATTCAGTTCCAAATTTGTTTTATCATCTTAAGACATTAGAAAGGCAGTTCTAGCCTATGATGTTCATTCACTAATTCGGTTAATTCAGTCTAACAAATATTTATTGAATGTATCTTGAAAAAATAGAAACTGAAGGCAAGGGCTAAACTGGAAACCTCTTTTCTGATGATTAAGTATTATATTTTCTTTAAGGGGTGTAGATTTTGATCCCGTTCACTTAGAAATAATCTGAGTATATGGATAACTCTGACAATTAAGAGTTACATATTTCTGTCCAACAAGACATTCAAACTTTAATTTAGAGTAGATATCTGACGACAGTCACCAATGATCTCTTTAAATATAGGCTCAAAATATTTTCCTCTCTCAAAAAAAACCTTAGGTTTCATAAGCTGTGCTTGTCCATAAATTTGTTTGACAACCAATCAATATTTCTCTCTCTGTTTTCAAAGAGTCAAATTAAATCCATTAACAAATACCACAGTTTGGTAGTTCTAAATTGTTGCCACCTGTAGGGCTAAGGTATATCTCTAGAATCTATTTCTTTGGATAAGAGGTTATTCAAATATCATTCAATATATTGGGTTGGCCAAAGAGTTCGTTTGGTTAATGAACACGTCGTTCGATAAAGTTCTTGGTGAACATGAAAAATGTGTCTTTTATTTTTACTTAAAACCGAATGAACTTTTTGGCCAACCCAATCTTTTGGGTCAGCAGCTAAATAGCACCTGACATTTAAACTGCAACAAAAATTAAAGAAAAATATTTCAAAACAAGCTGGTAAGTTCTTAACGGTAAGCTGGCCAATGGAGAATTTATTCATGAAAACTCTTAAAATGAGTGTTACAACTTATCATTTTAAAATTTTATTTAAACATTTATATTAAATCACACCTAAATTCATTGAGGGGATTTTATTTCAGATGGAAGGTGTTTTGGAGGAATCTGCCCTTTTGTTGAATTTCCTAAACCAAAGAAAACTATATGTTACATTTAAGAATTTATGTGTTATGGTCATGGTATTTTAATTATCACCCATTATATTGCCAATATTAATAGGTAAGAAAGTCCATTTGGTAAGAATCAGAACCAAAATCAATTATAAATTAATGTAAGCATGATTTCTATTTCTTTCTCTTTTTGACATAATATAATGCAATTTAGAGGTTTTTCATGTAAAAATCACCTTCTCCCCCTCAAGAATTTTGTGTTACCAAAAAAAAAACAAACCAAAAAAAAACCCCCCATGCTTGTTACAATTTTAGGCTATTGAATATTTGACCCATATCTAAAAACACTTTTGTGTAAATATTTACAGATTTACAAGGAAATGGCCTCATGAAAATGATTTGCAAGGTTCTCGAGATACTTACGAAAATCTAAATCTGTAGTGTTCTGAACTATATGCTCTTGCTTTGCCTGTGCCTTTCTCCCTCCCACCATCCCTCCCTCCCCAAATTAGACTTATCTTGTTCTCTCAACTCTCAGAACAATTTTACTGAAGTCTAAGTCAGGAATGGCAGTCGCACATGACACTAAGTTCTCCGTGATTCTGAGATCACAGACAGCACGTCAATCTTCAGCCTTCTTGCTAATATGTGCCTCAGTTCTCAGTGAGGTTTGGCGTGGACAATCAGTGTGAAGCTTGTCATCTTTATTTGGGGTTCTTTTTAAATTAAAACGCATTCTTGGATTTATGACTATACTTAGTCTGTATCTTAGAAGCCTGTCAAGTCTGTTTTATGTGCATTATCCTGTCAGCTCTTTGTGTTCAAGAGATAAGCATGTCTTTGTTCATTTTTGTTTAATATTGTTTGTGTTTCTCTGTGTGTGTATGTTCATGTCTGTATTAAAAATATCCCACATCCTCTATAGCATTTATTCTGCTAATTATTTATAACATTGTTAACTTACCTTCAGAGTTTTTTTAATTCAAAAAAATATACAGTGGATTGGAGTGAATTATTATGGATATTTTAAAGGGGTTTTCGAAAGAAAATTAAGCAACTAGTTAGGTAGGATGTATGAATCAAAGTAACTAAGTCAAGCCCCAATTTATGCCTTGCTTTTTTTATTTAAAATTTATTTTAAAGTATTTGATTCTTCAAAATTTAACTTCCAGTATTCGTACTTCATAATTAGTTGTCGAAACATTTTATGGAAAAGAATTTTGGAGTCATGTTTACACTGTGTCCTCTCTTCCGCATTTTCTTCACCTAAAAACCAATAACTTACGGTGAATAAAATTGCGCTTCAATATCTGGAAATAGCTTCCTGGAGTTAGGAAAAAAGTGTATACCCCAAGTATCTGAATAACAGTTTCCAACATCAAAGGATAGTTAGTTACCAGTATAAGTTTCAAAGAGCTGATCATCTTCAGGACAGAGGAGTTAAGTCATCAGTCAGCTGTGCAGAGCTGGTAAAGGAAAAGCCAGGATTATAATCCAGGGCTGATTCCTTACCCCCATCCTTTTGTCCCCATTCATCAGATGGGATCTTAGTTCTCAGACAACCAGCTGAATATCTGAAGAGTAAGAAAGCTAAACCCAGAAGGACTTTTTTGGGGGAGGGTAATTATTAGTTTACCTTTTGAATTAAGATGCACTCTTGTGATTGGGTTTGTATCCAGAAACGAAACTTACTCTGAGTAAGACAGTTGCATAGAACTGGCCAGAAATACAGCATGACAGTTCATAGAAAGACCATTTGAAATGTTTTTGCCATAGATTTTTAAAGTACTTACATTTATTTTTCTTGATGTCTTAAATATTTACGAGGAGAACAATTTTTCAG